GGGGGGGGGGTGTCTTGTGTATCTGTAAAAAAAAGAAAAAATGGGTTTAGCAAATGAAAGTGCACTTCCATGTGCTAAAGGTAGTGCAGTGTCTGCGGGTGGGGCTCCTAGCTCTGGTAACTCAAGATCCCCGAGCATTTTCCTTTAAAGAATTAAAAAATGCCCGTAACTTCCTACGAAGGTGGCCGGGGAAAGCGTGTACTGGCTCCGGTGGGGAACGCGCGGCCCTGGCTGCGGCCCTGGTGCCATGAGGTGCTAGCCGCCGGGCAGTTAATCTTATCGCCAGGAATTCCACGGGGACCCTCCTTCCCCAGCCGGCCCGTGGGCCTGGGCCGGCCGCCCTGAGTCGGGGCCAGCCTGGGATCCCTGTGATGTGGGATCCGACTTCCCTATCTGTGAACTCGAGGGGCTGTTTTCAATCAAATAATTGTTCCAAGCAGCCGGCTGGCGCCTGCGAGCCCGGCCGCTGGAGATCCAAGGGGAAGATTGCATCGGCGTCCTCCCGGGCTCCCCGCGTTCCTGTGGAATGCGCGCCGTGGAGGCCGAGTGTGGGCTGCATCTGGACGCCAGGGTTCGCCCAGCCTCTGAGTGTTTGGTTAGATGTTCAAACTGCGGCTCCTCCTGGCGCCAGCCGGCCGCCCTGCCCGGAGGTCGCCTTCTCCTGAACTCGCCTCTCTCTCTCTCCCTCTCTCTTTCTCTCTCTCTCTCTCTCTCTCTCTCTCTCTCTCTCTCTCGCAATCTTTTGCAGGTGGTCGTGGCTTTTCTTTTCTTCTTTGCACAACAGCCGATCCGCAGGAACTTATTTTTCAACCATTTCACCGGGAAGACGGACAGCAGGCCGAATGGACCCTTTTAAAAAATGGAAGCAAAACTAAGAAGGATCAGATCGTCTTCCCCGGGGCGCCTCCTGACCCGGACGGTGATGTTAGTTATTTATGAAAAAGACTTTTTAATGCCCTTCCTGCCGTCGGAAGGTGTTCTTTATATGCTGTTCACACCGTGGGGAGCAAAAACGTGAAAATCACAAGGAACTGCCCGAATTCAGCAGACTTTGCCTTTTTTTTTCAAAGGTGGAGCGTGACTATCAGAAGGATCCAGCGTTCAGTCCCTTAAATGAAGTCTTTTGGTCAGAAATGACCTTTTCTGACTCGAGCCTACTGAATGCTGTGTGTATATTTATATATAAATATATATGTATATTGAGTGAAGCCTCGTGAACTCTTTCCCTAGAGTTTCCTTGTACAGCGGCAGAGATGTGTATTTCTGCGTTCAAAGCGTAACGATGTACTTATTCGGGCTAAACTTTTTATAAAAGTTTGGTTGTAAACTTAACCCTTTTATACAAAATAAATCAAGTGTGTTTATTGAAGGGTGATTGCCTGCTTTCTTTCCGGGCCGTGCTCTNTGCACCCGGGCTCCCGGGAAGGAAGGGGGCTGGGAGAAGCACCCGCCCGCTGTCCCCCTCACGGGCCCCGTTTGGACCCTGCTGTCAAGCGGACAGTTCACCGAGGTGCCTCTAAANGTTGTAAACTTAACCCTTTTATACAAAATAAATCAAGTGTGTTTATTGAAGGGTGATTGCCTGCTTTCTTTCCGGGCCGTGCTCTGCTTTTCTGTGACGCTGGGTTGTGACTGGACCCAGGTGGGCACACGCAGGAGTTCACTGAGCGGTTACAATAAAACTCGCCCGGAGTCAACGTCTGGGTTCCGAATGTTTCTCAGGCCCCTCTCCCTGTCCCCGCCCTACCTGACCCTCCACCCCCACGGCCGAGCCTCGGAGCCGGCGTGCGGGGGTCTGGTCGTCGCTGGTGGGGGGGGGTAGCCCCTCGGGAAAGCTGCGCCCGCGCTGTGGGGTTGGCGCCTGGGGACGCCGTGTCGGGGGAGGGCACGGCTTGTTCAGGAGAAAAGGCTCCTTGGGACTCAGAGCGTGAGGTAAGACTCGGGGGGCGCAGAAGGACCCCTCGGGGTCACTCTGCCCCCGGCGGCCGCCTGGGACGGGGCTCCCC